ATTTTTGCCCCTTTAAGAAAGTGGCTGGCCCTCAGCCAGAGGAGACATACCTGGTGAGTCCTAATGCTCCCTGGCAAACACCCTCCACAGCCACCTCCTCCATGAAGGCTGCCCCTTCCCTCTCTCCCAGGAACCCTTCCCTCTCTGCCACCTATATGGCCAGTAGGGCATAAGTTTCTGAAGCTGCTGGGCCACAAGCAGCCAGGTGGGACCCTGGGGCCTTTGACAATGCTCCCAGTTCCCTCCATATAGCCATGGTCCACATCACCAGCCCACCAATGCCCTCTCCCCTTATTGCAGCTCTTAGCAGAGGCCACTCTGGCCTGCTCCCACTGGATCCCAGATCCTCCAGACTGGAGCCCTGTGCACCTGGTGGGCCCAGGTGGGAGGGCCTGGTGACCCCAGGGTAGCAGGGTTCCCCCTCTCTCTAGCCGTACTACCAACATATAATGCACATCGTTGTTTTTCCCTCAAAATTTTGGGCTAAAAAGTGTACATTATACACAGCAAAATATGGCAGGTCTCTTTTCCAGGAGTACTCATCAGGTAAACCTCTCCCTTAGGGTTATCCTTGGGTTAATTAAATTCTAACTTTGTGCCCAAGGTCGCTCAGTCACAAAGTGGCCAAGCCAGGGTCTGATTCAGCTTTGTCTAGCTACAAACCCAAGTTCCTAACTCGTCACATAGTCTGGCTTCACTCATAAGAACAGTTTGAGTAAAAGCACAAAAGATGACCAATAAATAGAAAAGATAACCCAAGATTAGCTTTGATTATCTTGAGCAGGCAAATGGTATAATCATAATACTCCCTCACTACTTAGAAGAGTGGAAGGCTAGAAGAAAAAAAAAAGGAATTAGTTCTGCATTCTGAAGGAAATACAGGTTATAAATAAGGAGAGGGAAGGGGCAAATCATTTCAGGTACTTAAAATAGAGTGAAAGATAAGAAAGCTTAAGATGATGTGGGGTAAAAATGAACCAACTCTGCAACTCTAGGGAGGAGGGTTGAGGATGTTGAAGAATAGGAGTTTGGTGGAAAAGCTGGGGGCAGACCAGGTGTTGTAGCTTGGGGGAGGTATGAGAGCATGCTGAAAGACCAGTCTAAATTGCTGTGATGTGGTCACTCATTAGGGGAGAGTTAGTTCTGTGGTTATGTAGATCAAGGCTCTGATATCGAACATACCTGAGTCCTTGTTCTGATCTATCTCCTCTTACCCTGGGCAGGTTACTAAACTCATTCAGTCTCCTTATCTGTAAAATGGGGGTAGTAATAGTATGCAGCATTGCAGGACTAGCCTGGACACAGTGGTAGTGATCCACGTATAATGTGATAAAGACCTCGAGGAGGGGATGCCAAGGGATTAATAAAGAAGGGAGGGAGATCACAAAGATGGCCAAGTCTTAATCCATTTACACATCAGATAAGATGGCAAACCCAGAGAAATGGTGATCCAAGGTCATTCAGTGAGTTCGTCGTTCAGCTGGGACTGTAATTCAGTTTTCCGACCAGGCAGCCTATACTTTTTCCAGTGTGCCATCGTGTACGTGGGACATTCACCAAGTGCACCTGAAACATGCACGGTGATAGACTGAGCATTCTAGGTCATCAAACAAGTCTCAATAAATAAAGAGTCCAGCGACAGAGGTTGGCCCAGTGGGTTTAAATTACTACATCGGAAAGTTCTTCAGGAAGGGTAGACGATAACATGATAGTGGGTAGAGGGATCAGGTAAGGGTCCACCACTCACATGCCCCCCAGTGTTAGCTGTCATCAGGCAGGAAAAAATACAAAAATGAAGTACACTGATAATCCACAAACTGAGTATCAGTTCTCAAAACTGAAAAGTGTAATTTTAGCTTAATTGAATACTATATTTAGGATGCTTTTTACCAAAAAGAGGGAGAAGCAGTAGAAAATGTCTGTGCCCCATATATTTCTGTTAACCTTTATATTGGTTTTATGAATTAACTACTTAAAATTTCCAGTTGAAATAGCATCAGAATTGTAAGAGAGAGAAATATACTTATTGATTAACTGTACTTTAGTATAATCTGCTGATTTCATTGAAATTGGCTAATAACAGATTATTCTAATTCAGAGTCAACTTTACATCTGAATACCAAGCGAGGGGTAAGTATTATTCAGGACTGCTGCTGTAAGTAGTAAATAGTGAATAAGGGGAGAGGAAAAGGCTATGAAAGAACCGGAAACAGATGGGATGAGAGAGAGACAAAAACAGGCAGAAATAGACTGTTTTTACTTTTAGGTAACATTTCAGGCAAGCTATTGCCTGATTCTGTTTTAGTGGAGCCTGTCAGTTGTGTTTTCCGTGTTTATTTTTTCTTCCAATGCAATTTTTAGAGTGAAAGGAAAGGATGCTTTCACAGGTGCATGGAAAAGAGTGAAGGGAAGATCCGTGAAGGAGGCTGGGCGGAAGTTAGTGAAAATTGGTTGGGGAATAAGCAGTGCACAGCCTGGGAGAGATTGTGAGAAATTAGCCAAAGACCTACTCAAAGGACTTTTTGAATGAAAAATCAGCACATTTTCATAAAAAGCATGAATATAATTAATAACCGTCTTCTCCTTTAAATGTCTTCTTGTTAATTTTAAGTTGTCATTATAAAATTTACGCAACTGTGTAGATTTCATGTTAATTTTTTATTTAAATAGCTTTGAAGTATGAAAATGAGTCATTGGCTCTGCGCCTGTGGCTCAAGTGGCTAAGGTGCCAGCCACATACATCTGAGCTGGTGGATTCAAATTCAGCCCAGGCCCGCCAGGCAACAATGACGGCTGCAACCAAAACATAGCTGGGTGTTGTGGTGGGCACCTTAGTCCCAGCTACTTGGGAGGCAGAGGCAGGAGAATCGCTTGAGCCTAAGAGTTGGAGGTTGCTGTGAGCTGTGATGCCATAGCACTCTACCCAGGGCGACAGCTTGAGGCTCTGTCTCAAAAAAAAGAAAGAAAAGAAAATATCATCTTGATCAGTTGTGCATTCAGAGTGATGCCTTGAATTAAGGAATATGCTCTAATAGTGTTCTGAATTGTTTCAGATTGCAACAAATCTTGGTGACATCTATCAGTTTATGAATGGTACCTTTTTTGGTGTTCAGCAAAAGATTTTATTGAAAGAAAAAAGTCTGTGGGAAATAACAGTTGAATCACTTAGCTACCTGACAGAAAAAGGGCTCCTACAAAAAGACACAACTTGTAAGTCTGAAGACGAGGCCCAATGTAATTTTCATATTACCAAGTTGGGACGAGCTTCTTTTAAGGGTAAGAGTTTCCCTAAATCTCATTACAGGAAATACACTGAAAAAAACAGAAATGAAATCATTCTTTCTTTAAGTTGGATTTGTAATTTTATATTAATAACATTAATCTTCTCTTATGAGCTGATAAACTACTTCAACTTTTGAAAGTTGAAAAATGTTTTGAATGTTAAGTAATTAAAATGCTGCAGAAGTGTATAGAGCAAAAGATGGCCATCACTCCTCCACAGTCTCTCCTGCAGCGACCATGCAAATCTTACTGTCCTGCCAAGACTAACACTTTGGTTTATAATCTTCCAGATCTTTTTTCTACACTTCATTTCAATGCATAATACATGAACATACAGAGTTTTAAGTTTTTGTTTTTAAACAAATAATGATGTATACTATTTTTGAACTAGCTTTTTTTTTCTTAATATTATATCTTAGAGATTGTTCCATGACAGTGAATAGTTTTCTTTCTTAATGGCTATGCCATCACTTACTTAGTGAAAATTAATACATATCTATTCTTTAGAAAAACCTGAGCACTCCTAATTAGGAAAGGTAAGTCCTATGTTCCTATTCCATTTCTACTCTCTCAGGGGCTATTGCTGGTAACAACTGGACATATATTCTTCCAAATCTATATTTGTGCGTGAGGGCTGCCTGGAAAGTACTCAGCCATGGTTAATAGTATTTTTCCTATTATGTGGCTGGATACTTTCCAGA